CCATTTTAACCGACCAATCAGAGACCCAATTTCTATGTCTCTATGAAGGGATAGGAGTGGACCAACACATATACCCCTCAATCGATAGAGCATCCTTGATAACCCTAGGATCGGCCCGAACATGTCTGTGTGTTTTCCTTATATTAAGAGAGAAAAGTCCTGCTGAAATCTGATTGAGCCATTTATGGACCAATCAAAAGGCAGGATTCCATTTCTCAGTGTTGGACTTAGTAGGAATCTACACATATACCCTTAATCGATAGAGCATCCTCGATAACCCTAGGATCGGCCCGAATATGCCTGTGTTGTCCTTATCATAAGAGAGAAAAGTCGTCCTAAAATCTGATCGGTCTATTTTATGGAGCAATCGAAGGACCAGTTTCTATTTCTCAATGTTGAGCTTAGTAGGATCCCATACATATACCCCTCAATCGATAGAGCATCCTCGATAACCCTGTGATGGCCCCGAGCATACGTATGTGTTGTCCTTATAATAAGAGAGAAAAGTCCGCCTGAATTCTGATTGGTCTATTTTATGGACCAATAAAATGCGAGATTCTAGTTTTCAGTGTTGGGCTAGGTGTGGTCCCATACATATACCCCTCAAATGATAGAGAGTCCTCGATAACCCTATCATCTGCCCGAACATGCCTATATGTTAACCGTATAATAAGGAAGTAATTGGCCGATTTTCTGGGCCAATGAAATGAGGAGATTCTATTTCTCAGTGTAGGGCTGGGTGAAGACCCATACATATACCCCTCAAACGATAGAGCGTTCTCGATAACCCTATGATCGGCCCGAACATGCCTATATGATGTCCGTATTATAAGAAAGAAAAGTCCTCCTGAAATATAATTGATCAAAATGGACCAATCAGAACAGAAAAGTTCACTCTTCATTCACCGTTTTGTTTTGAGTCAGACACAAGTATATATGTATGAGCAGCAAATCGATCATCTCTTTCTCACACTAAGCACGTCGACTCTAGGTAAATACTTTTTACTCTCCTCCCTACGAAATCATCCATACTTTAGTTCTCGCTGTCCCACAAGGTGGAGACCCATACGTATATCCCTCAATTGATGGAGCGTCCTTGATAACCCTATGATCGGCCAGAACATTCCTATATGATGTCCGTATAATAAGAAAGAAATTGGCCCATTTTCCTGAGCCAATGAAATGAGGAGATTCTATTTCTCAGTGTAGGGCTGGGTAGAGACCCACACGTATACCCCTCATACGATAGAGCGTCCTCGATAACCCTATTCTCGGCCCGAAGATGCCTATATGTTGTACTTATAATAAGAGAGAATGTCCGTCCGGATAATACCGGCGGAATACGGCCGTTTCTGATCACTGTAATGCTCGACCTGAGATGTGATCTTTCTCGGGTAACGCCGGGTACCTCTGCTAGTATTATTATAAACTAAAAGTTTCGGTTGTTTCTTTGCTTAATGAGCACTATGTTAACTTATCTCTCGACTATATACTACTTGATATAAAAGATGTAAACCTCAATCGTGTTCTAATACGTGATTAAAGCATTATAATAGACACATGAGAATTCACTCGTAATTTCTGACGTGTGAGAATACAATAAAGATTAAATATGATGAAAAGTGGATCATATATCTTCACTGAAATTTGGTCATGCGAATCGAAGGCTTCGTCACTTTTTAGTATAAATGGTGGCCAAGAAGTTCTGATTCGATTTTAATAATAAGCTTTTCCTCAATAAAACACATGATTGGAAATTTATCTCTAGGATAAAAAGATGTAGCAAAACATGCTCTAAAAGTGGCTATTGATTGATCCCGCTACCTCATATAGTAAGAAAGTTACAAGCTTAGAAATATGCTTCACAGGAAATGAAAATAAAACGTGAATTTTTAGATATCATAAAGATGTTTCTTTATATAAAACATGTTGGTTTACTTAAAAAGATGGTTCTTCATCTTGCATATTACAATTAAAATCTATTTGAATTAATATTCATACACTTGATTTTCATCAACTTGTATGACCTTCCTGAGACGTTTAAGTATTTTCTCTATCATTTCTGGACATTGTTCAGGTATAATTTCTCTCCATTCTGAATTAACAAAACGAACTAATGAAGCAAGATTTTTAAATATTCTTCGTCTTGTTTTTTCCTTTCATAATACCCAAACGTTCTCAATGGGCCATACATCTGCAAACTTCGTATCTCCATCATTTGATTCAATTCTTTCTTCAAAAATATGGTAGATAACATCCATAACAATTTGAGTTCTTTGTTTTGAATCTTGATCATCTTGAAAAATAATTTCGTTCAAATTCTCAAATACTTTCTTAATTGCAAGAATGCTTCTTCGCGTAAAAATTTAGCATATGAATCACCAGTCATGTACATTCATTTACGTGACCAGCCCGGCATTGACTTTTTAACCATTAAGTAAAATTAATCTGACTATCGTTCGGTACTAAACTTTTCGTATAAATTGTACCCCAAAACATGACATCACTTGGATACTTTACCTTTGGTGCTTCTCTTAAATCAGCTGGAATTTCAGATGCATCTTCAGCATAAGCTACGTCATTTTTACTATTTTGAAAATCTTCAATTGTAAATATTCCAGAAAAATTAGTATTAACGATTTTAATCCATCGCCACTTCGGATCAGTTATTCTTGCACTAAATTTTTTGATTAATCTTTTTACACATTCAACACATCGTTGTTTGTTTGCCACTGTTATTTTTTAAGCTTTTCTGAGTTTAAATGGTTTCAAATTTAATTCTTTAATTAGGTTTTCCACCGATGATCTTTTACCTTTAATGTCGTTGCGTTGTAATTGAAATATCACGTTTCTTTCACTGTGTCCTTTTGATATATATATATTAATCGTTTAGCAGCTTTCTTCATTTGTTCTGCTGTAACAGTTCTTGGTGTACCACATCTTGATCTATCTTTTACTGTTCCTTTTTGTAATATTCGGTTTATTTTTCTTCTTCATGCATCACAGCGTAATAGAAGTGGACCTTCGTAAGATTGTAATACATCGGCAATGTCAGCCGTCATCCATGTAGGATTCATTTCTTTCAAAGAAAGAACGATACCACGAAACTGTTCTCATAAATTGGCTGTGTGTGACATCTTGTTATATTGTAGAAGACGTCGTATAGATTATCGAATATATTATTTAAACTAAAACCGATCTAATTATAAGTAAGATAGGCGAACGAATGGATGAATACAAAAGAGAGATGGACATCATGAAAACAAAGAAATAATGATTACAGAGACCTGGAGACAATACTATGAAGGACATTAAAATGCAGAATACATAGAATGAATGCACACAGAATGGAAAATATATATCGAATAGTTGGAGAAAAAAATGCACTAAATTCTAGGAAGAGAGGACAAAGACAATGATGATATGATCTAATCAAAAGTAAGGATTATCACACGCGTAAAATTAATTACATAATGACTTTAAAGTGATTATTCAATGCTCTGAAAAATTCACAACTAATTTTTTTTGTGAAGTAAGTTTCTAAGTTTGTAACTTTTTTACTATATGAGGTAGCGGGATCAACCAAAAGTCATTTTTAGAGCATGTTTTGCTACATCTTTTTACCCTAGAGACAAATTTTCAATCATGTGTTTTATTGCGGAAAAACTTTTTATTCAAATCGAATAAGGACTTCTTGGCCATCTTTTACACGCACATTTCGAATTCAGAATTCACGAGAAGTCGAGCAAATATTCATCTCATTACTTTTCTCAACTACTTTCTGTTGTTTTCACTGTTTTAGACGGCTCGACACTCGTCTTCAGCGTCTTTCAACTGTTGCTCCTTAAACTCATTCGTTACAGGCACTACAACTGATGGATTCAAGCTTGAAATTTCATGATTCCGATCTTAATCGAATTCTAGCATTGTCTAACGACCAGTGCCAGACTTCTGAAAGCAATCAAATTGGTGATATCTCCTCTGCCACGTTTAGCTTCGACTCAGACATTTCAAGTGCTTTTTTCAATCTTGTGTCAACGATGAAGACGACACCAGAATGCATAGCTTTTACATGCTACGCTGTGTTCTTATTCAAGTTAACGACAAAAGAGCGAGATTTCAATCTATGGCAAAACACAATCATCCAGTACCGACCCGAACTATCTAGCAGTATCGATAGGTCTGCTGATAGGTGCGTATGATTTGCAGCGTATTTTTTGCAAATCTTACTCTAAATCTTCTCTACAACTATTTTCTAATTTCCACATAGAATTTGCTTTTGTGTTGATCCACAGTCATCCTTCTTACAGCTCACCAACAACATTAGCGAAGTCATGATGCGCACAATGGAGTATGCAGGTGTCTCATTGTCTTACACATTTGACCAGGGTTCAACATCAAGCGCCCCCATTTTTCTGGATCTGTCGTTCGAGCCTCGTACAATTTTCATCAATACGGAAGCCAACACAGAATTGCACAATGCTGCCTTATTTCATAAGCATCTGCTCACTGTGTCAGAATGTTCTGTCAACAATGAAAATGATGACAGGCAAGCTCCATTGAACTTTTCTGTTACATTCCAACATGACGTGCACGAAAACAACTTGATATGCACATTTGACGGTTCTTCGAACTTGTTCAATAAGATCACTCTACAAACTTTGGCTCATCGTTTTCATAGTCTGTGTCAACAACTATTCTGTTCATCATTTGATCGACGAAGACAGCCAATCTATGAACTATCTATTCTCCTCCCTACTGAGAGTGATATGTTACAAAAATTGAAGAATTGTGAGACCATATCGCATATCAAATGTTGTATTCATCAAGCGTTCATAGAACAAGCAATCATACATCCTAATAAATTGGCTGTAATACTTGACGATCAATCCCTAACCTACAGCGAATTACTTGCTGAAGTTCAAAAGTTAACATTTGTTCTCATCAATGACAAGAATGTGCATCCAGGCGACATTGTATGTCAGTATGTTGATCGGAGTATGGAAATGATTGTCGGTATTATGAGTATAATGACGTCAGGTGCTGTTTATGCTCCATTAAGCACAAACGATCCTTTCAATCGACTTGAATCGATCATTCATGAAGTTAATGCCAAGCTAGCACTTGTGAATCAAATGTCACATTCATATGTGAGCATGTTTAGTGTCCCTATTCTCAATATATCTGAAGTAGTCGAGTCCCATAATTCTTTGAACGATGCACAAATGAAACAATTGTCTCAAGTTACTGTAACACCCGATTCTATCTGCCATATTGTATTCACGTCAGGATCAACAGGCACTCCGAAAGCTGTTCAAATTCGTCATCGCAGTTTCATGAATTGCATGCAAACACATATTATACAGACCAACGATATTGTTCTCCAGCTTACAAGTTCTTCTTTGGATACTCACTTGGAGGATATTGATGGTGCACTTATTCGAGGTGCTCAATTAGTGGAACTGAAGGCTGAAGGTCATTTTGATTTCGATTATGTGACACAAACTATTCATGATAAACAAGTCACCTTTGTCGGGCCTGTACCATCATGGATGAATGCTTTAGGCAAATTTCTCAATGAAAATAATCGTGCTCAAGAAAGAGTTAAAACAGTACGCTGTTGGTATTTAGGAGGTGAGAAGAAGATAATATTTAGTGTCTAATAGCTTATGATCATCATTTTTTTGTATTCCATATGCCTATAACACTGGCCGATCACTTTGTCGTATAATCACCTCGTCACAGGAAAATTTATTTCGCTGTATTGGTCACTGTCTATTCGTGGCATCCCTCTAAAGTTTTTTTCAAAGATGTGAATTAGTTAATGAATTCATCCTTATTATGTGCATTTTACATAATATAATTACGCCCACATTGAAAGCCAAAATAGCAAAAAAAAATAAGAAAAAAGTAATCTGAAGAAAACAAAACAATTTTTTAAAAATGCATAAAGATTTATGTTGGTTGCCATATTTGTTAGAAATTAACCCGTTGAGACACGTCAAATGTGTTAGCCAGTCGAGTAATTTGTTCGTCCAATTGTCAATAGTAGGCCTTCTTCGTCTTAATATCATGCATGTCGAGAATTTTCGCCATGGCCACTTTCGATTTGGACTGTTCACGACGAATTTTTCCCGCCATTTTCATTATATTTTAACGTTTGATTGAGACGCAGTTCTCAAATGCTCTTGTGCGAGTCTTCCACCAAAATGTTCACATGAGGTACAACAGCGACGATACGATCATGATTTTTGAACAATATTGTGATCCAATTGAAGCATCTGTTGATCAATCCCTTTGAAAGTTGAGTATGTTTGAAATTTCTCAGGAATAAAGAAAAAAGATCATTTCTTCTTTTTGGTTCATCAATCTATGATTTTTAAAATAGTCAAGTAAATTGTCGGCATCATCATCGAATTGATTGGCTGCTACGCCAAAGCTGGGTGTAATTTCGTCGACTGCAACACAGGCAAGATAAATGAATTTTTACATTCAAACGAAAACATTCATCTTGTCTATATTTTGTTGCCAATCCTTTTTCTTGAATTCGTCGCCATATTGCTTGTAAAAGATGAAGGAGAAATTCTATAATAAACGTTGTAATTATTTTATTTTTTGTAAAAAGACTGGAATATACCTTTGTGTCAAACGTTTAGCGACATTTCTTTGATTGTTGTGATGGTACCTGTTTCGAAACTAATGATAATCGATTAAGGTTAAAGTTGCTTTTCTTCTCACACTTTTTTGAATAGTAAATTGTGATCTACAGTGCTTTTACCAATTAACCACTTATAGGAAACTTGAACAAATTGCATCAGTCATCGTCACACGTAATTTGAGGATTCGCGAATAATTGTGGGGACATACCTGTATGAAAGAAAATTCGAAAAGAATAAGACTCATTTCGTTGATAATATATTTTGAACGTTCCGTCAGTAGACCAATGTTTGTTTTGCTTCAGGTTAGATAAATTAGTTTTCGTAGTAAAAATAATTAAATCATTGTCTTCGTATAAGAAGAAGTTGCCATCACGACATCTTTCTCAATTTTTCTAGTAAATGACCGTTGACATCGACTACTTCAATAGTACGTGGTCGTCAAGTTATTAGCATAAGCGCTTCATTTCTTAGACATTCACCAGTGGCACTTAGTGGATATGTACGTGCAATCGAATGAAGAATTGAGCTGAATAATTCATCTGTTGTTGAAACACGATGTCTAATGTGATTCTTTAATTGGATAGCTGGAACATGATCAATTTGTCGATCATGGGAACGTAAAGTGCGTCTTTAGAGAAATACGTCCGTGAATAAATTTATATGATAACTAGCTTGATTGATAGTTGAGTTTTCATTTAAGTTAGTTAATTGATGTTCAAAATGACTTCACCTTTTCAATCTCGTTTCTGACATCGAAAAATCGATTTTGTTGTTGTACATTCCACAGTATACATGTAGCCTTCATCGTGAATCATTGGTTTTCCTTTTAAAGAAAGGAATTTTTTCAATTTGAGGCATTTTGTTTGAAAAGAACTGTGCAGTGAAAGTTGAAATTGAAAAATGAAATATGTTTAATTTAACCTGGTCTCATAATTAAGAATGTTGAGTCAGTGTTATCTTTGGTATTGATTATGATGGAATTCATTAACCGAATAACAAATCGAATTATTCTTCGTGCACTTTCGCTCAATTACGATTATATTTTAGTAGTGTTTTTTATTGAACTATTTTCCCAACTAAAGTCATATGCCTTAGAACAGTTAATTATCTATTCTGATTGTACATATGTATTGCAATTTTTCATTTATTTTATTTTGTTTCGATCGTTTATAGAAAAAAAACAAGAATTCAAAGTGTTTTAATAAGTAGATAGCGACGAACAGAGCTAAAGATTTTTTTCTGCGATGAAGTCATCATATGACCAAGTGATCATAATGAAATGTCGTGCGACAAAATGTACTAGTACCATGTATAGAATTTTCTGTCTCCTCTTCTGACTGCTACGTTCTCTTACATAATCGACTATGATGACTTAGAAAACATAACATATAAGAAATAACTGAAGAAATATTAAACTAAATAGTAACAGAATCAATATAATTCAGTTTTTATATGATGTTGATCTCACATGATTCTTAGAATACTTTATATTTTTAAAGGTGAAACATTATTCAGTTCAATGATTATTCCGTTTCTGCCATTCATTAATGAACAAAGTCGATTTTTCAATGTTTATAAACCTGCTGAGATTACAATAGGAGCGACTTGTCATGAAGTTCGTCAAGAAGAACTCTTTACGACTGTTTTATTGCCTATCGGTTATCCATTGAGTGGTTATCACATTTATCTCCTAGACGAATATCGACAGCCAGTAGTACCTGGTCAACCCGGTGAGATTGTTATTGGAGGTGAGCTATCTATTTCATGTTACATGCAAAAGATCGTTTTTGATATGATATGCATAGGTGTCGGTGTCTTTGCTGATTACTGTGGACGAGCTGATTTGACAGCACGAGTTTTGATCGATATCAACGGTGAGCAGTGTTATGCAACTCGTGATTTGGCTCGTTTGGATATCAAAACAGGCGAGCTTATCTTTATTGGTCATCAAGACTATCAAGTGAAACTGCGAGGTCAACGCATTGAACTATCGGCAATTGAATGCCTGATTATTCAGTCGTCGTCGAATATTGTAAATTGCATTGTGATAAAGGAGGATTCGAAGGGCGATAGTTTATTAGTGGCTTATGTTCAAGTGAAAACGAGCACTGAACTTGAGAAACTCCGCGACGAAATCCTTGGTAGCTGCAGTTCTCAATTGCCTTCACATATGATTCCGTCAAAGTGGTTCTTTGCTCTAGAATTTCCACTGAATGACACCGGCAAAATTAACCGAAAAAAGTTGCGGCAAATGACGGAGAACATATTCTCACCCTTAGTGGGTCGAACGACGGCAACGTTGTCGCCGCTTGAACTAAAACTGCAAGACATTTTTATGCGAGCATTTCATCTAGACATACCACCAGACGTTAGGGCGCCATTCAGACAGCTAGGTGGTACATCATTAGGTATTATGCGCGCGCTTCGGTTTATTCAACGAGAAGTGATGGATAAAATGGATATTAACCTATTGTTTACGAACCCTTCTGTGGAAGCATTGGCTGCCGCCTTGGAGCCTGTTCTCTCCATCGCTGAGTCTGAGAAGGAGAAGAAAGAGGAAGATCATGACGACTTCTCAATCCGGCCACATTCGTCATGGCTAATTGAGTCACTTGGTACTATTCTTCTTGCATTGCTGTGGGTATGGCCAGTCCTTATGGTAGACAGAATGCAATTTGGTTTTTTATCGATGCTACTTGTCCCATTAATTTATCTAATGCAATTCCCCATATCTCTGAAAATTTTTGGCGGACCAGTTAGGCGAGGTCGCGACGTACTTTACTCATGGCAATACTATCATTTATGGTTCTTACGACGTCAGTGGTTTCTCAACAGATATTGGCTTGAGCATTTGCTGGGTACTCCTTTTTATAATGCTTATCTTTGTCTATGTGGTGCTCGCATAAGTGGCGGAACGTACATTTACAGTACTCATATTGATGCACCTTGGCTTCTCAAGGTCGGGAATTCTACTTACATTGGTAACGAAGTGATTCTTTCTTCTCTCACATATCACGATCGTATTTATGAGCTGCATGAGATTCATATTGGATCGCACTGCTCAATTGGAACGCGATGCGTTCTTCATGATAGAGTGAACATGGAAGATGGTGTTCTGGTCGAACCATTAACAGCTGTTACAGGTCGAACTATCGGCACACATCAGAAATCCTCATTGCCGTGCGCCTTAAGTTTCAGCCAGACACTCTTTCAGTTTGTTGCTGTGCTGGCAGCGCTTAGCGTACATGTACTCATTCTAAAAGTCTGCTGGTCTGCCACAAATTGGTTACCGATGTGTATAGGTTTGCCTTTTGTTTGGCTACTCTGGATTGTCTTGGGGTCTGGTATCGGCCTTCTTCTTCTTTCACTACTTGGTCGTGTTGAACAAAATTTCTCTCATTCGCTAAATTCCTGGAAATTTCTTTGTCAATTCTGGTTGCGCCAGCTAATTCTTAGTTCGTTTGGCTGGTGTTTTTCATCTCTTTTTGATCGAATGAATAGATTTCTTCCCTTAGTTCTTCGCTGGTTGGGTGTTACGATAAAGGACAACAATATCCAAATCGATGAAATTGTACCGCTTTTAACAGTACCGCCAAATCTTCTCACTATTGAATATGGTGTCACAATCACATCTGATGTACGTTTTGTTCCGTATGATGTTACAACCTATGGTCAGTGTATTGTCGCTGGTCCTATTCAGATCAGTCGCGGATCGTTTATTGGCGATAGATGTGTCCTCCGATCAGGAGTTAGCCTCCTGGAGAATGTGTTGATTGGTTCTCTCACACGAGTTGACTCAACGATTAGCAATGGAAAGAAAGGTTAATTCATTTTCAATAATACATTCTTGTTTAAAACAGAGCTCCCTGTATGCGAGAGAAGTTCAGGATCTATGAGCACCTACATCCAATCAAATTAAAGGAATGTGGGAGAAATATTGGTTCAGTTCTCAATTTCTTTGTTAAAATAGATCGTAAATGTTGACTTTAAAATGTCGTTTACAA